CGCAGGGTTTAACACACGGTGGGTTTAACACACGTTGGGGTTCAACACACGGTGGGTTCAACACACGGTGGGTTTAACACACCGTGGGTTGAACACACGGTGTGTTGAACACACAGTGGGTTGAACACACGGTGGGTTTAACTCACGGTGGGTTGAACACACGGTGGGTTGAAAACGGTGGGGTTAACACACGGTGGGTTTTAACACACGGTCGGTTTAACACACAGTGGGTTGAACACACGGTGGGTTGAACACACGGTAGGTTTAACACACGGTGGGTTTAACACGCGGTGGGTTGAACACACGGTGGGTTGAAGACACGGTGGGTTGAACACACGGTGTGTTGAACACACGGTGGGTTGAACACACGGTGGGTTTAATACACGATGGGTTGAACACACGGTGGGTTGAACTCACGATGGGTTGAACACACGGTGGGTTGAACACACGGTAGGTTTAACACACGGTGGGTTGAACACATGGTGGGTTGAACAGACGGTGGGTTGAACACACGGTAGGTTTAACACACGGTGGGTTGAACACACGGTGGGTTGATCACACGGTGGGTTGAACACACGGTGGGTTGAACACACGGTGGGTTGAACACACGGTGGGTTGAACACACGGTGGGTTGATCACACGGTGGTCTGAACACACGACGGGTTGAAGACACGGTAGGTTCAACACACGGCGGGTTTAACTCACGGTGGGTTTAACACACTGTGGGCTTAACACACGGTGGGTTGAACACATGGTGGGTTTAACACACGGTGGGTTCAACACATGGTCGGTTTAACACACGGTGGGTTGAACACACGGTGGGTTGAACACAAGGTAGGTTTAACACACGGTGGGTTTATCACGCGGTGGGTTGAACACATGGTGGGTTGAACACACGGTGGGTTGAAGACACGGTGGGTTGAACACACGGTGTGTTGAACACACAGTGGGTTGAACACACGGTGGGTTGAACACACGATGGGTTGAACACACGGTGGGTTGAACTCACGATGGGTTGAACACACGGTGGGTTGAACACACGGTAGGTTTAACACACGGTGGGTTGAACACACGGTGGGTTGAACACACGGTGGGTTGAACACACGGTGTGTTGAACACACGATGGGTTTAACACACGGTGGGTTGATCACACGGTGGGTTGAACACACGATGGGTTGAAGACACGGTAGGTTTAACACACGGTGGGTTTAACTCATAGTGGGTTTAACACACGGTGGGTTGAACACACGGTGGGTTTAACACACGGTGGGTTGAACACACGGTGGGTTGAACACACGGTGGGTTTAACACACGGTGGGTTGAACACACGGTGGGTTGAACACACGGTGGGTTTAACACACGGTGCGTTGAACACACGGTGGGATGAACACACGGTGGGTTTAACACACGGTAGGTTTAACACACGGTGGGTTGAACACACGGTGGGTTTAACACACTGAGGGTTAAACACACGGTGGGTTTAACACACAGTGGGTTGAACACACGGTGGGTTGAACACACGGTGGGTTGAACACACGGTAGGTTTAACACACGGTGGGTTGAGCACACGGTAGGTTGAACACATGGTGGGTTGAAGACACGGTGGGTTGAACACACGGTGTGTTGAACACACGGTGGGTTGAACACACGGTGGGTTTAACACACGATGGGTTTAACACACGGTGGGTTGAACACACGGTGGGTTTAACACATGATGGGTTGAACACACGGTGGGTTGAACTCACGGTGGGTTGAACACACGGTGGGTTGAACACAAGGTAGGTTTAACACACGGTGGGTTGAACACACGGTGGGATGAACACACGGTGGGTTGAACACATGGTAGGTTTAACACACGGTGGGTTGAACACACGGTGGGTTGAACACACGGTGGGTTGAACACACGGTGGGTTGAACACACGGTGGGTTTAACACACGGTGGGTTGAACACACGGTGGGATGAACACACGGTGGGTTTAACACACGGTAGGTTTAACACACGGTGGGTTGAACACACGGTGGGTTTAACACACTGAGGGTTCAACACACGGTGGGTTTAACACACAGTGGGTTGAACACACGGTGGGTTGAACACACGGTGGGTTGAACACACGGTAGGTTTAACACACGGTGGGTTGAGCACACGGTAGGTTGAACACATGGTGGGTTGAAGACACGGTGGGTTGAACACACGGTGTGTTGAACACACGGTGGGTTGAACACACAGTGGGTTTAACGCATGATGGGTTGAACAGACGGTGGGTTGAACACACGGTGGGTTGAACACACGGTGGGTTTAACACATGATGGGTTGAACACACGGTGGGTTGAACTCACGGTGGGTTGAACACACGGTGGGTTGAACACATGGTAGCTTTAACACACGGTGGGTTGAACACACGGTGGGTTGAACACACGGTGGGTTGAACACACGGTGGGTTTAACACACAGTTGATTGAACACACGGTGGGTTGATCATACGGTGGGTTGAACACACGGTGTGTTGAACACATGGTAGGTTTAACACACGGTGGGTTGAACACACAGTGGGTTGAACACACAGTGTGTTGAACACACGTTGGGTTTAACACACAGTGGGTTGAACACACGGTGGGTTGAACACACGGTGGGTTGATCACACGGTGGGTTGAACACACGGTGGGTTGAAGACACGGTAGGTTTAACACACGGTGGGTTTAACTCACGGTGGGTTTAATACACGGTGGGTTGAACACACGGTGTGTTGAACACACGATGGGTTGAACACACGGTATATTGAACACACGGTGGGTTTAACACATTGTGGGTTTAACACAAGATGGGTTGAACACACGGTGTGTTGAACACACGATGGGTTGAACACACGGTATATTGAACACACGGTGGGTTTAACATACGGTGGGTTTAACAGACGGTGGGTTTAACACACGGTGGGTTGAACACACGGTGGGTTGAACACACGGTGGGTTGAACACACGGTGGGTTGAACACACGGTGGGTTGAACACACGGTGGGTTGAACACACGGTGGGTTTAACACACGGTGGGTTTAACACACGGTGGGTTTAACACACGGTGGGTTGAACACACGGTGGGTTTAACACACGGTGGGTTGAACACACGGTGGGTTTAACACACGGTGGGTTTAACACCTGGTGGGTTTAACACACGGTGGGTTTAACACACGGTGGGTTTAACACATGTTGGGTTTAACACACGATGGGTTGAACACACGGTGTGTTGAACACACGATGGGTTGAACACACGGTATATTGAACACACAGTAGGTTTAACACACGGTGGGTTTAATACACGGTGGGTTGAACTCACGTGCGGAGATATCTGCAGCAACGGGAGCTAGGCTACGGGCTAGGCACGTGTGCTCGTGTGATCTCTGCGTTCTCTGTTCCTTAGTCGTTTTCCTTGTGTACACACTACTTGCTAGTTCACGGGGAAAATTGGCAAGAGTTTCACTAGGAAAAAGGTCAGAACAATTGGTACAATGAAGTTGGCATAGCAAGACTACATCAGAGCAAGCATTCAGGTCGGCCAACTGCCAGCGCAGCTTGGTCGACCGCGTTCCAGCACGACTTGGTCGACCGCACTTCAGCAAGGCAAGGTCGACGGCGTGCCAACGTCGCAGGTTGACGGCGTGACAGCGTTGCTTTCGCAGGACAGCAGTGCACCCTTGCTTTGTAGTTGTGCGCAGATGATTGGCGCACAGAGTCTTGTCACCTGCACAGCGCACACACCACGTCAACCTCGAGCTGACGACTGCCTCTGATCCGCCACGAGAACCTCGGGATACCACCACCGAGGTCGGGCTCGCCAACTTCGCCTGGGCGACCGTCGCACTCCTCCGCAGCACTTCGTCACCCAGGTAACCTGGTCGACCAGGCAACCACGTCGACCTGCAGCTCCCGTACGTGCCTGTCGACCTCCCAAGTTGACGACCACCTCCACGTCGACCTCACCAGGTCGACGACACCATCGGTCGACCTCCTCTAGGTTGACATCCCCTGTGGTCGACCAGCTCCACGTCGACCAGCACTCCTGGTCGACCTGCTCCTCGTCGACCAGCACAGTCGTCGGCCAACCACCCTCGTCGGCCACCCGAAGCTGGCGTCACGAAGTTGACGCCCCGCTACTCGACGCCCAACTGCTCGGCGTCCTGAGTCGAGGTCGACGTCGGCCCCTCCTTCGTCGACCAGTAGGTCCAGTCGACCACTAACAGGTCGACCAGCAGTCCGTTAGCCGACTGCCAAAGACGGCTTCCCCAAGTTGACGTCACCAAGTTGACGTCCTCCACAGGTCGACACCCAAGTCGACCTCCCTGAAGTCGGCGCCACCCTGAAGTCGGCGCCCGTGCAGTGGTCCCCCGTGCAGGTCGACCTCCTCGTCGACCAGTTCACCCACTGCTACAGGTCGGCTGCTCCCCTCACATCCGACCTCGAAGTCGGCTCCGCCCAAGCGAGGACGGGGCCAATACACAACTCCCGTTGACACTCCCCTGCCGCGTTCACGCTTGGGCCCCCAAGTCCTACTCGGCAGTACTCCTCAGAGAATAGCTCGTCGATGTGCACCCAACACACAGCACGTCGTCCACCGCACCATCCATGCAAGAGGGCATGGCACCTACTGCTGCACGTTGTTGTCGCCGTCACCCACGTCGGCCAAGCGCACTTGGCCGATTGTGACGGAGCACCGGTTGAAGGCCGGATAGTGCAGCGCCTTCGTCAGGAAGTCGGCCAGCTCCAGCAACTCAGGTCCACCGCCGAACTCCAGGGCGGTGTCGCGTGTGTTGGCGAGGTAGGCGAGGCAGCGATCGACCTCGCGCCAGTGCTGGTCGCTCCTCACCGTGAGGCCACTCCCCAGCTTGCTGCAGACGAAGGCGACGTCCGGCCTCGTCGTCGTCGCCGCGAACTGCAGCGAGCCGACCTTCTGCCGGTACTCCTCCTCCTGCCATTCCTGCGCCTCTTCGTCATCGAAGGTGAGCTCGGCTTAGGCACCGACTGAGACCGGCGTCTTCGGGTTGCGCCCGGTCTGCTCCTCGTTGAGGAAGCACCTACGCAGCTTGTCGGCGTAGCCCTGCTGATGCAGCCACATCTTCCCCGCCGACCTGTCGCGCACGATCTCCAGCCCGAGGCACTTATGCACCGGCGAGATCTCGCGAAGCTCGAAGGCAGCTTCCAGCAGCTCCTTCAGCTCCCTCAGCATCGCGGGACTGCTGCAGGCGGCGAGCTGGTCGTCGACGTAGACCAGCACTCAGCAGACTACTTCACCCTCGCCGACCTTGAAGTAAAGAGCCTCGTCGACCTGGCTCTTCTTCCACCCGGCGCCGACCAGCACATCGTTGAGCGCCAAGTACCACAACAGCGGCGACTGCTTCAGCCCGTATAGGCTCTTCAGCAGCTTACACACCCGGCCGGTTCCGTCGTTGAAGTAGTCCGGCTGAGACATGTACAGCACCCGATCGAGCTTGCTCTGCAGGAAGGCGTTCTTCATGTCGAGCTGCATCAGGTTAAGGTTGAGGACGGCGACGATGCTGAGGAAGATCCTCAGCGTGACGTAGCTGCTCACCGGCGCGAACGTCTCGTCGTAGTCGGCGCCGTACACCTGTGTGAAGCCCTTCACGACCAGCCTCGCCTTCTCTCACTTGACGGTGTCGTCGATGTGGTACTTCGTCGTCAACACCCACCGGTTCTTCATGACGTTCACCCCCAGCGGGCGTTCGACCAGCTCCCAAGTGCCCATGTTGATGAGGCTCCGAATCTCCTCCTCCATGGCGGCCTTCACCGCCGGGCCCTTCCAGCTCGCCAGCGCCTCTTTCACCGTCATCGTCGAGATGTCCCAACGGTGCTCGGGGTCAGCTAGCATGTCGGGGTCGAGCTCCGGAAACTCCTCATCCTCCTCGGCGTCGTCGTACAGCAGGTCGTCGTCATCGTCCACGTCATACACTGTGGTGAAGGCAGCGGGGACGAAGAAGTCAGGCGGCCTCCGAAGTCGGCCTGAACGTCGCGGTCCTTGCTGGACCTCCTCGGCGTCCCCTCTATCGTCACTGTCGTCACTGCCCTCGGCGTCCTGCTGCTCCTCAGCCGGCGTCCCAGCCGACTGCTCCACTGTGGTCGGCTTCCCAGCCGACTTCTCCCCTGTGGTCGGCTCCCCTGCCGACGTCCCGGTCGCCGACTGCTCCGTGGTCGGCTTCACGACAGCCTGCTCCCTTGTCGGCTGCTGCTCCCCGACCTGCTCCTCCCCTGTCGACTTCAATCCCTCGTCGATTCGCCGCTCGTCACGTCGGCCACCGGCGATGCACTTGGCCGGCGCCGAAGGCGGCGTCCCACTACTCCCCTCATCGCCGGAGGCCGACACCGAGGTCAGCCCACGCATTTCGGCCACGAGGGGAGGGGTCAGAGGGTGAGGGGTAGGGGTGTGGACGTCCTCGACGTCCTTAGCAGCAAGCTCACCGACCTCGGCAAGCAGCGGCAGCGTCGCCGACGAGGTGTCAGAGGGCGGCAAGCGGCCGGACACCGGCCCATGCTCCGTCTTCCACTCGGCCAGCGACAGCTCCTCGTAGAACACCACGTCCGACGTGGTGACCACCCGGTCAGTGGCGACGTCAAGGAGCTCCCAGCCCTTGCTCGCCTCTGACACACCAAGGTGTAGGCCCCACTTGGCCTTCGGCTGCAGCTTCCCACCACGCTGCTGCTCAGGGACAAGGAACTGCGCCATGCAGCCCCACACCCGTGCCAGCGACAAGTCGGGCTTCTTCCCGGTCAGCAGCTGGTATGGCGTCGTCCCCGGTGGCAGCGTCGACCTCTCAAGACAGTTGCGGACCCAGACGGCCTGTCGCAGAGCGAGGTGCCACCAGTGGTGCTGCACACCCATGTGCAGCAGCATTGTCCGCATCGACTCCACCACCGTCCTCATCTCCCGCTCCGCCATGCCGTTCTGCTGCGGGGTGTATGGGCAGGTCAGGTCGTGGACGATCCCCTTGCCATTCACGAAGTCGGTGAGCTGCTTCCCGAGGAACTCCCCTCCCCGGTCAGAGCGCAGCATCAACACCGACTTCTTCGTCTGCCGCTCAGCCACCGCCAGCCACTGTACGAACGCCTGCAACGCATCTGACTTCTTGGCGACCGGCTTCACCCACACGTAGCGGGTCTTGCGGTCCTTCAGCAGCAAGAAGTACAGGCTGCCATCCTTGGCAGCCACGCGAAACGGCCTGCACAGGTCGATGTGCACGACGGCCAGCACGTCGTCGGCGTCGGAGCCTTGGTCGGGGAAGGTGTGTCGCGCCAGTTTCCCACCGACGCACGAGACACACGGGGAGTCGGCGTCCGTCGCCGACTTGAGGTCCAGCCCAATTGCGACCTCGCTCTTCGCCGAGCTCCGTATGGTGTCCATGCCGACGTGCGCAAGCCTCGCATGCATCCAGTCCGGCGTCGACTTCGTCTTCGAGACGATCGCCCGCAGAGCCACCACCTCCGTCGTGGGCGGCGTCGACCTCGTCGAGCAGGGACGCAGGTCGGTGCAGAGGACTCGTCCAGAGTACGTCGCCCGCCCGAGCACCTCCGCTGCTGCCGAGACGAGCAACATGCCGTCTCCGTCCTCCTGCAGCTTCACGCCATGCTCCTTCAGCTGGCCGGCCGACAGCAGGTTGGCTCGCACACCCGGGACGTACAACACGTCGGGGATGAGCACCTCCTTCCCGGCCTCTCCTTGCAGGGCGATGGTGCCGCAGCCCTGGACATCGTGCAGCGCCCCATTGAAGCCGCGCACATGCCTGATGACGCCGCTTGGCTGCAAATCGACGAAGGCTTCCTTCGTCCCCATCAGGTGGTGGGAGCAACCGCTGTCGAGCAGGACCACCGCCGGGTTCGCCTGCACAGCCGCGGCCACCGCATGGAAGTCCTCTCCGGCCTCCGGCGCCAGAGAGATGGTCGGCTCCACGACGCCGACCAGCGAGCACGACGCCGTCTTGTCGTCTCGCCCCTTGCCTCCTGCAACATAGTCGGCGTCCTTCGCCGAAGTCGATGTCTTGGTCGACTGCTTCTCCTTGCGCGGTTGGTTGCCTGCAAGACGAGGACGATGGCTGCCAGACCTCCCACGGCCTCCCTTAGCATCGTCGTCGTCGGAGTCGCTGCGGTTGGGACACTCGAAGGAGAGATGATCGGGATCGCCGCACAGCCAGCACTCCCGACGTCGACCTCCTCCTGCACGACCGCTGTCCTTGGTCGACTTCCTCTTGTCGACCTCCTTGGCCTGCTTCCAGCCACTGCTCCCGCCGCCACCAGACTGTCCGCGCTGTCCTGGTCGGCCTCCTTGCTTCGCCGGGGCGACGAAGTTGGCCTGCGCCAAGAGCTCCTGCGACCGCTCTGCCTCCTGCATCGCCTCGTCCTGCAGGATATACGAGGTCAGGTTGTCCTCGTTGAGCGTCGCCCTTGTGCTCGGCGCCATAGACAGCCGCTTCAGCAGGTTGTAGCTGCTAGAGAGTCCCTGCATGACATGGGTGATGTACGATGCCGTGGAGTACTGCGCACCGGCCATCCTGATGGTGGCGAGAATTCGCCTGGCTCGGTTGCAGTAGTCGGTCGCACTTTCCTCGTCACCCATACGCAGGTGTGTCAGTTGTCCCTCCAGCTGGGCGATGAACAGGTCGTCGGTAACCTGGTACGTCAACTCGATGAAATGCCATGCCCGGTGGCCGGCGTCGAGGTACTCCCGGCACCACTTCAAGGCGACCTGCACGCCCGGCGAGCAGCACCGCGAGATGACCGTAAAGGTCAATAGCTGCAAGGCGCGAAACTCCGCACGCAGGTCGGAGTGGTGCTCCGCCTACGTCGCCTCGGTCCCTCGCGCGAAGCCGATCAGCCCGGCCATCTCCAGCTGGGGCTCGATGGCTTCCTTCCACGTGAGAATGTCGGGTCGACCGACCAGCGGAGGGGTGACCGAGATCCTGTCCGGCGTAAACTTGAAGTAGCCGTAGCTCGGTGCAATCCCACCTGCCGTCACCTGGGACGCCGACATAGGCGACAGCCCACTTCGACGCCCACCAGCGTCGCCATGTGAGGAGCCTGCAGCCGCCGACGACTGCATCCCTTGCGCCTGAACGCCGCCGACTTCACCGGCGTGTATCACACCTCTCTGCCTCGACGTGCCTCCCGCACTGCTGCCGACCTGACCTCCTCCGGCGTTGACACCCACGTCGACGCCGCCGTCGTTGCTCACCGGTCGAGGAGAGGCTGGTCGAGAAGGGGGGTGCTCCGCCGCCCACACGGAGCGGAGTCCGGCTTCGACGACTGCCCAGGGTATTGCCCCATACTCCTGGGCCTCATGGCGTCTCCTCGCATCCACTAGCCGTCCCTCCAGGGTATCCATCACCTCGGCATCGCCTACGCGCACGCTAGTGACTGCACGGCTGCCGGTCTACGAACACGATCAGTATGAGCTAAGTCGGCTAGACTGAGCTACGTCGCGGTGTCCTCCACGCTCACCGCACCATGCGGAGATAACTGCAGCAACGGGAGCTAGGCTACGGGCTAGGCACGTGTGCTCGTGTGATCTCTGCGTTCTCTGTTCCTTAGTCGTTTTCCTTGTGTACACACTACTTGCTAGTTCACGGGGAAAATTGGCAAGAGTTTCACTAGGAAAAAGGTCAGAACAATTGGTACAATTAAGTTGGCATAGCAAGACTACATCAGAGTAAGCATTCAGGTCGGCCAACTGCAAGCGCAGCTTGGTCGACCGCGTTCCAGCACGACTTGGTCAACCGCACTCCAGCAAGGCAAGGTCGACGGCGTGCCAACGTCGCAGGTTGACGGCGTGACAGCGTTGCTTTCGCAGGACAGCAGTGCACCCTTGCTTCGCAGTTGTGCGCAGATGATTGGCGCACAGAGTCTTGTCACCTGCACAGCGCACACACCACGTCAACCTCGAGCTGACGACTGCCTCTGATCCGCCACGACAACCTCTGGATACCACCACCGAGGTCGGGCTCGCCAACTTTGCCTGGGCGACCGTCGCACTCCTCCGCAGCACTTCGTCACCCAGGTAACCTGGTCGACCAGGCAACCACGTCGACCAGCAGCTCCCGTACGTGCCTGTCGACCTCCCAAGTCGACGACCACCTCCACGTCGACCTCACCAGGTCGACGACACCATCGGTCGACCTCCTCTAGGTCGACATCCCCTGTGGTCGACCAGCTCCACGTCGACCAGCACTCCTGGTCGACCTGCTCCTCGTCGACCAGCACAGTCGTCGGCCGACCACCCACGTCGGCCACCCGAAGCTGGCGTCACGAAGTTGACGCCCCGCTACTCGACGCCCAACTGCTCGGCGTCCTGAGTCGAGGTCGACGTCGGCCCCTCCTTCGTCGACCAGTAGGTCCAGTCGACCACTAACAGGTCGACCAGCAGTCCGTTAGCCGACTGCCAAAGACGGCTTCCCCAAGTTGACGTCACCAAGTTGCGTCCTCCGCAGGTCGACACCCAAGTCGACCTCCCTGAAGTCGGCGCCACCCTGAAGTCGGCGCCCGTGCAGTGGTCCCCCGTGCAGGTCGACCTCCTCGTCGACCAGTTCACCCACTGCTACAGGTCGGCTGCTCCCCTCACATCCGACCTCGAAGTCGGCTCCGCCCAAGCGAGGACGGGGCCAATACACAACTCCCGTTGACACTCCCCTGCCGCGTTCACGCTTGGGCCCCCAAGTCCTACTCGGCAGTACTCCTCAGAGAATAGCTCGTCGATGTGCACCCAACACACAGCACGTCGTCCACCGCACCAGCCATGCAAGAGGGCATGGCACCTACTGCTGCACGTTGTTGTCGCCGTCACCCACGTCGGCCAAGCGCACTCGGCCGATTGCGACGGAGCACCGGTTGAAGGCCAGATAGTGCAGCGCCTTCGTCAGGAAGTCGGCCGGCTGCTCAGCGGTCGGGATGTACTACAGCGAGAACTTCCCGCGCCTCACCATGTGCTGCAACCAGGCCTGTCGCCGTTCCATGTGCTTGAGGTTGCCCGTCAACCCCATGCCCTCGGCGACCGTGATGGCCGACTTGTTGTCCACGCACAGGACAGTCGGCTTCTCGGCGTCCAGTTGCCGGAACTCGGCGAGGAGGAAGCGAAGGCGACGTCCCTCCTTGCCAGCTTCAATGGCCGCAACGTACTCCGACTCGGTCAACGACAACGTCGCGCACTTGATGCGCTGGCTCGACCAGGAGACTGCAGCCCCTCCGTAGACGAACACATGGTGGGTTTAACACACGGTGGGTTGAACACACGGTGTGTTGAACACACGATGGGTTGAACACACTGTGGGTTGAACACACGGTGGGTTTAACACACGGTGGGTTTAATACACGGTGGGTTGAACACACGATGGGTTTAACACACGGTGGGTTTAACACACGGGGGGTTTAATACACGGTGAGATTAACACACGGTGGGTTTAACACACGGTGGGTTTAACTCACGGTGGGTTTAACACATGGTGGGTTGAACACACGGTGGGTTTAACACACGGTGGGTTTAATACACGGTGGGTTGAACACACGGGGGGTTTAACACACGGTGGGTTTAACACACGGTGTGTTTAACTAACGGTGGGTTTAACACACGGTGGGTTGAACACACGGTGGGTTTAACACACGGTGGGTTTAACACACGGTGGGTTTAATACACGGTGGGTTGAACACACGATGGGTTTAACACACGGTGGGTTTAACACACGGTGGGTTTAATACACGGTGAGATTAACACACGGTGGGTTTAACACACGGTGGGTTTAACTCACGGTGGGTTTAACACATGGTGGGTTGAACACACGGTGGGTTTAACACACGGTGGGTTTAATACACGGTGGGTTGAACACACGGGGGGTTTAACACACGGTGGGTTTAACTCACGGTGTGTTTAACTAACGGTGGGTTTAACACACGGTGGGTTGAACACACGGTGGGTTGAACGCACGGTGTGTTTAACACACGGTGGGTTTAACACACGGTGGGTTTAACACACGGTGGGTTTAACACACAGTGGGTTTAACACACGGTGGGTTTAACACACGGTGGGTTGAACACACGGTGGGTTTAACACACAGTGGGTTGAACACACGGTTTGTTGAACAAACAGTGGGATTAACACACGGTGGGTTTAACACACGGTGGGTTTAACATACGGTGGGTTTAACACACGCTGGGTTGAACACACGCTGGGTTTAACACACGGTGGGTTTAACACACGGTGGGTTGAACACACGGTGGGTTTAACACACGGTGGGTTGAACACACGGTGGGTTGAACACACGGTAGGTTTAACACATGGTGGGTTGAACACACGGTAGGTTTAACACATGGTGGGTTGAACACACGGTGGGTTGAATACACGGTGGGTTGAACACACGGTGGGTTTAACACACGGTGGGTTTAACACACGGTGTGTTGAACACACGGTGGGTTGAACACACGGTGGGTTTAACACACGGTGGGTTTAACACACGGTCGGTTTAACACACGGTGGGTTGAACACACGGTGGGTTTAACACACGGTGGGTTAAACACACGGTGGGTTTAACACACGGTGGGTTTAACACACGATGGGTTGAACACACGGTGGGTTTAACACACGGTGGGTTTAACACACGGTGGGTCTAACACACGGTGGGTTTAACACACGGTGGGTTTAACACACGGTGGGTTTAACACACGGTGGTTTCACACACGGTGGGTTTAACACAAGGTGGGTTTAACACACGGTGGGTTTAACACACGGTGGGTTTAACACGCGGTGGGTTTAACACACAGTGGGTTGAACACACGGTGGGTTGAACACACGGTGGGTTTAACACACGGTAGGTTTAACTCACTGTGGGTTGAACACACGGTGGGTTTAACACACGATGGGTTTAACACACGGTAGGTTTAACACACGGTCGGTTTAACACACGGTGGGTTGAACACACGGTGGGTTTAACACACGGTGGGTTTAACACACGGTGGGTTGAACACACGGTGGGTTGAACTCACGGTGGGTTTAACACACGGTGGGTTTAACTCACGGTAGGTTTAACTCACGGTGGGTTTAACACACGGTGGGTTGAACACACGGTGGGTTTAACACACGGTGGGTTTAACACACTGTGGGTTGAACACACGGTGGGTTTAACACACGGTGGGTTTAACACGCGGTGGGTTTAACACACGGTGGGTTTCACACACGGTGGGTTTAACACACGGTGGGTTTCACACACGGTGGGTTTAACACACGGTGGGTTTAACAGACGGTGGGTTGAACACACGGTGGGCTTAACACGCGGTGGGTTTAACACACTGTGGGTTGAACACACGGTGGGTTGAACACACGGTGGGTTTAACACACAGTAGGTTTAACTCACTGTGGGTTGAACACACGGTGGGTTTAACACACGGTGGGTTTAACACACGGTAGGTATAACACACGGTGGGTTTAACACACGGTGGGTTGAACACACGGTGGGTTGAACACACGGTGGGTTGAACACACGGTGGGTTGAACACACGGTGGGTTGAACACACGGTGGGTTGAATACACGGTGGGTTTAACACACGGTGGGTTTAACACACGGTGGGTTTAATACACGGCGGGTTGAACACACGGCGGGTTTAACACACGGTGGGTTTAACACACGGTGGGTTTAACACACGGTGGGTTTAACACACGATGGGTTTAACACACAGTGGGTTTAACACACGGTGGGTTTAACACACGGTGGGTTGAACACACGGTGGTTTTAAAACACGGTGGGTTGAACACACTGTGGGTTGAACACACGGTGGGTTGAACACACGGTGGGTTGAACACACGGTGGGTTGAACACACAGTGGGTTTAACACACGGTGGGTTTAATACACGGTGGGTTGAACACACGGGGGGTTTAACACACGGTGGGTTTAACACACGGTGTGTTTAACTAACAGTGGTTTTAATACAGGGTGGGTTGAACACACGGTGGGTTTAATACACGGTGGGTTGAACACACGGGGGGTTTAACACACGGTGGGTTGAACACACGGTGGGTTGAATACACGGTGGGTTTAACACACGGTGGGTTTAACACACGGTGGGTTTAACACACGGCGGGTTGAACACACGGCGGGTTTAACACACGGTGGGTTTAACACACGGTGGGTTTAACACACGATGGGTTTAACACACGGTGGGTTTAACACACGGTGGGTTTAACACACGGTGGGTTGAACACACGGTAGGTTTAACACACGGTGGGTTGAACACACTGTGGGTTGAACACACGGTGGGTTGAACACACGGTGGGTTGAACACACGGTGGGTTGAACACACGGTGGGTTTAACACACGGTGGGTTTAATACACGGTGGGTTGAAC